AAAAAAAAAAAAAGAAAACATATGGTCTTGAACTCTGATCTTCGTCGTATTCTGGTCTATCAATTGTGGATGTAGCACGGACATGAACTAAATTTGGCTCTTTTACCGACATCGAAAGTGGATGTGGCCATGTAGTTCCAGACGCTCGTAAAATGGATGTACGTGACGCTAGTGAGCAGCCTAGAAAAAGCGTTTGACGAAAAACGGCGGCGTGGCCTCTCTCATTCTTCTCTCTGCCCAAACACAGATTAAGGGTCGACAGGCGACATGGTAGAGACGCCTATCGGCCGGCCGGGAATTAGAGATTCTTATATTCCAGATATTAGCGAAACTACTGAATGAATCTTATTAAATTTATGATATTCTTAATCAGTAAGCTCAAATGCAGTCCGCCAAAGAGTTATTTATTGAAAAAAAGATGAAAATAAAATTTATAATATAACTTGGGGGAATGCGCAGCTAGTAACGGGTAAGGTTGGGTTAGCCAGGAGTCCGTATTTTATTTATTATAAATTTTTCAGAGCAAAAATGCAAAATCCGACTCTTTGGCGGACTACTTTATTATATCAAGAATATATTAAAAAAAAAAAACCAAAGTTATGTCACTTATTTTATGAAATATCTGGACGATAAGATTCTCACTAGATTCATAAGGAGCAGGGGAAATTTCTGTGGTAACATGCTGACTGCTTGACAAGGAGAGAGCATCATTCCATCTTTGTCTCTCTTACATCGCATATGTAGTAGCGTCCATGTAGGTACAAACACTAATACGTGAGCACACGGATGCAAATATTGAGAGATAATGTCAGCAAAAAGGCTATCATATTATTTTTATTTTTTTGTATATGTATGCATATGTAAATAAAGAACAAAAATAAAAACTATTTTAAATAATAAGAATCTATTTGTGTGTGTGTGTGTGTGTAATTAAAAATTAATAAAAAAATTAAAAAGTCAATTTATATACCATATATTTTTTTTATATCATATAAAAAAATCTTAGAAATGTACTTAAATTTTTCGTAGATCCTCGATTTTTTTCATTGCTTCTAAACATTCAGCTAAAAGAGCAGTTGAGACATGTTACGCATAAGTTATTTATAATTTTCGTTCAAATTAAGAGAATATTGTATTGAATATATTGTAATGCATATACACATTAATTTTCATTAATTTACTTGTTTAACAAAAACATGGTTTTTTGATAATAATTTAAAATTATTTCTGCTCAGTGATTTTTAAATAGCCGCAGTATATTGACGGTGCAAAGGTAGCATAATCAATTGTTTTTTAAATGAAAACTGGAATGAAGGAATTGATTAAAGCTGTTTTAATTTGTAGATTTAAAATTTAAATTTTAAGTTAAAATTCTTAAAAGAAATTATGGGACGAGAAGACCCTATTAAATTTAATATAATTTTTTTATTTAAGGAAATAAATTTTATTTTAATGATTATATTTTATTGGGAGGATAATTAAATAAAATGAACTTTAATTTAAAGATAATTTTAACATTAATTAATAAAATTTTTATAAAGGATTGATTATTAAATTAAGAAAATTTTTTTTTTTTATAATAATTATAAAAATTAATTACCTTAGGGATAACAGCGTAATATTTTTAGAAAGATCATATTAATAAAAATGATTGCGACCTCGATATTGAATTAAAATAAAAATTAAATAAAAAAGTTTAATAGTTTAGTCTGTTCGACTAATAAAATTTTACATGATTTGAGTTCAGATCGGTGTAAGCCAGATCGGTTTCTATCTATAATAAAATTAAGAAAATTTTGTACAAAAGGACTTTTTTTTAAATTATATTTTTTTTAATGAATAAATTTAATTGATCAAATATATGTAAATAAATAAAATTACTTTGGCAAAATTTAAGTGTATTAAATTTAGAATTTTAATGATGTATAATAGAAAAAAGTTATACAAGTAATAATTTGTCAAAATTTAAGATTATATTTTTATAGTGCGTTAAATATATTAAGATTGTTAATTTTGTTATTAATTATATTAGTTGGGGTAGCTTTTTTAACTTTATTGGAACGAAAAATTTTAAGATATGTACAAATTCGTAAAGAACCTAATAAGGTGGGATTTATAGGATTATTTCAACCTTTAAGTGATGCTATTAAATTACTTAATAAAGAATTATTTTATGTATATAAATCTAATTATAATTTTTTTTATTTATGTCCTATAATTAGATTTGTTTTAATAATAATATGATTGGTATTTCCTTACATTACTAATATTTATTTTTTAAATTATTCTATTTTATTAATAATTGTTTTTATAACTAATAGAGGGTATGTTATAATTTTTATGGGATGATCAGCTAATTCGATTTATTCAATAATAGGGGCAATACGATCAGTTTCACAAATATTATCATATGAAGTAAGATTTATTTTAATTATTTTAGTAATATGTTATATTATTTTAGTAATATAAATTATGTTATTATATTAGTAAGAGAGAGATATTCTTTTTTGATTTTATTAATTATCAATTTTATTTATAATATATAGTAGTTTTATATCCTTTGTTTATTATAGTTTTTATTAGGATTTTAGCTGAATTAAATCGAAGTCCTATAGATTTTATCGAAAGTGAGTCAGATGATTTAATATTGAATATTTTAGGGGTGGGTTTACATTAATTTTTTTATCTGAATATGGAATAATTATTTTTTTAGATTAATTAGAATTTATATATTTAGGAATTTATTAAAATATTCAATAATTTTAACTTTTATTTTAATTAATATTTTATGTAGAATAGTAATTTTTATACATGGAATACTTCCTCGAATACAATATGATAAATTAATATATTTATGTTGGAAAATTATTTTACCAATAATTTTGGTTTATATTTTATTAATTTTTGGATTTAAATTTATATTATTAATAATAATTTAGTAAAAAAAATTAAATGTTTAAAAGTTAATAGAAAATTAAAATTTCTTTAATATGTTTTCAAAACATAAACTTAAATTCAAGATTATTAACTTAATTTAATAGTAATTTATAAAAAATTTAAATATTAAATATAATTATTTTTAATATTTTAAATTTATTTATAATAATAAATTTTAAAATATTTATTTAAAAATAATTAAATCTCAAATTTTTATTAGGAAAGGTAATAAGATAAAATAAAGAAAGTAACATAATGATAAAATTTGTCTAATAATGATAAAAGGTTGAGCTCCTGCTCATGTTAATAGGATAAAAATATTAATGAAAATTCAAAATAAATATTGATTTAAAGGATAAAATGATAATGAATTAAATTTTATAGAAATTAGAGGTAAAAAATATAAGATAATAATTGATGATAATAAAGCAATTACACCTCCTAATTTGTTAGGGATAGATCGGAGGATAGCATAAACATATAGAAAATATCATTCAGGTTGAATATGAATTAAAAATGTATTTTATAAATAAGTGAAATATTATATATATATATAATATATATATATAAGTGTATATATATATATATATATATATATATATATATACAGATATGAAAGAACTTACGAGTAACGTATGATGGCTTAATGCAAGAATATTTAATCACGTAAAAAACTTGAGTTCAAATATATCAATATCAATTTTTTATAATAAATTAGAATATAGAAAATCATAGAAATATATTTTTTATATAGGCGATAAACTTAAAAATTTGATATTGAAAATATTTTAATCATTTTACAACTACACACACTATAAATATATAAATGCAAAATACTTCCGTAAATAAATTTCAATAAATCAATTGCACACATGCACACAGCTGGTATGTAGATTTTTATTAAATTTATTTTCTGAATTATTTTACACTTATATATATGTAGTAAAAATATTTTTTATTGATATATTTGAACTCTAATTTACTGGATGATATACTGAACATCCTTGCATTGATTATATATTACTCAACGGTACGTTCTTTCACGTTATAAGTTATTGGAGCAAATTATACAATAGCATCAATAATCAAAAAGAAATCAAGAATAATCAACATATCCCTTATATAATATATATATATATATATATATATATATATACGCACATATGTGCATAAGGATATATAAAATTTATAAAAAGTAGGTACTTATTAGCCTTGCTACGCTACTGCCTTCTGCTACGGAAGGCCAGAAAGCATTTTCAGGCGGCATCTCGCGTATACCGGCACGGTAGAGGAACAAGGAGAACACGTGATTATCGGTCCTTGTCTCTCTACGGTGCGTCCGCGTGAGCAATGCAATGGTGTATGTACGTGTACAGACATGCACCACTACATAAAACCCGAGAATTGGTTTCTCGGCGTTGGCAACACTGAAATCGGAGTTTCGCGTTGTCACCGCGCGAGGTCTCCAACATCAATTCGGAGTTTGGCCGACCGACCTGTCGACCCTTAATAGACAGATCGCCAAAGGTCTGGATGAAGGAGAGACCAGGGGGTCGATTGTGTAACTTTTTCTAAAGTGAAAACGTGAAAAGTGAAAAATTTCCACCAATCACGCATTGATTTTAAAATAAAATCGATGTGTGATTGGAAGAAATTTTTCACTTTTCACATTTTTACTTTAGAAAAAATTACACAATCGACCCCCAGGGTACTTATTACGGTTCTTTGGGTGAGTTTGCTCACGAGGTGAAAATCACAAAAGTGAGAGATTCACTAGGTTGTCTACGCTTCTATTGGTCAAAATCTAGTGAATCTCTCATTATTGTGATTTTCATCTCGTGAGCAAACTCACCCAAATAACCGTAATAGATACCCAGGGAGTCGATTGTGTAACTTTTTCTAAAGTAAAAATGTGAAAAATGAAAATTTTCTTTCAATCACACATCGATTTCATTTTAAAATCAATGCGCGATTGGCGGAAATTTTTCACTTTTCACGTTTTCACTTTCAAAAAAGTTACACAATCGACCCCCAGGGGGTCGATTGTGTATCTCAAAACCTAGTGAAAATGACAAAAGTGAGCATTCACTTGATTGGCTATTTTTCATCACTATAGTGAAAACACGAAATATTTCACGTGAGATTATTCGACAAGAATTATTGTGTCGAATAATGTCAAAATGTGTCATAGGGTGCATTCGTTTATGCAGTGACTGCCGCAAATGTCGTTCGTTTACTCCACCTGCGCAACCGACTGCAGCGCAGTTTGTTGTTCGTTTAAGCAGAGCTGCTGCCTATCTGCGCAGCCATCTCGGAGGTCCTGCTTAGGATGCTTTGCTCGCAGTACTGCGTAAACGAATGTAGTCTTCTCCATTGTTAAGCCAATTGAACTTGGAAACGTTGCCTGAAAATTATTTCAATTATGAGTTATGTTATAAAAGTTCAGAACAAAGAAGGTGGAGAATAACTCCTCCAAATAGATCCTACAAAACTAAAAGTAATGCAAGGTAAGTAATACAATAAAATTATGAAGTCTGTTAATTTATATTTACGATCCAATTAACTTAAAAATGCACTTTTATCAAGAATATAAATTTAAAGTAATCTGTTTAAAAAAAATGTGCTTTGTATAAAGATGCAATTCTGTTACAGTCATTCCTAGCTATCAAGCTACTCCGTCCCCAGTAAGTTTGGAAAAATCTGAGAAGTCTACATTCAGCAACATTTCAATCCTACCGTCATCACTGTCTGAAAATGTTATGTGCACACGTCATATGTCAGAACCTTCAATCTATTTAAAAATTTTATTATATTTATTCAAATAATAATTCATATTTAATATAAATATGATGAAAATAAAATCTCGACGGCAATCGGAGCCTGTGCGGATGACATGCACAAAATTAATAAATTAAAATGAGATCTCAAATCAAACTCATTTATTAAATTCTAAACGTTTCGACCCACTTCGGGTCTTCTTCAGTAGCTGCAAAATACAAAGAAACAAAAATAAAAGATAATCGGTACAATCAGAAAATTATAAAACTCGTATACATACAATCCGCAAATAAATTAAATATCATTCTCCTCCCTATTCAAACCGTCCGGCCGTCGGAGTGTCTCCCGAAACGTTTAGAATTTAATAAATGAGTTTGATTTGAGATCTCATTTTAATTTATTAATTTTGTGCATGTCATCCGCACAGGCTCCGATTGCCGTCGAGATTTTATTTTTATTGTAACACAATAATTTGAGCCGAGATTATCAGTTTTTTTATAATAAATATGATGGTTTCTAAATCGGCCTAAGAGCCATAGCACGAAAAATTACGAAAATTAATTATTCGGAACTGTATCTCTTAGTACGAGATTACTAAAGTTCCATATATTAATTAACCTTGAACTTACATATGGAGAAATAGGCGCGAAAAATATAGGTCCGAAAAGTCGCTGAAGCGGGAATCGAACCCGCGTCTTTCACTTTCCGGGCGACTGCTCTTACCACTAAGCTATTCAGACTCTTTCGATCGTATATTTTTCATTTGTCTTTTTAGTAGATGTTAGTAAATAACGCCGTGATTAGGCCAGGCGTGAATAAACTCAGAAATAAATATTTTTTATCGGCTCTCAATATAAACAATATAAATATGATGGTTTCTAAATCGGCCTAAAAGCCATATAGCACGAAAAATTACGAAAATTAATTATTCGGAACTGTATATCTTGGTACGAGATTACTAAAGTTTCATATTAATTAACCTCGAACTCACATATGGAGAAATAGGCGCGAAAAATATAGGTCCGAAAAGTCTAAATAGCTATTAGTGGTAAAAGCAGTCGCCCGGAAAGTGAAAGACGCGGGTTCGATTCCCGCTTCAGCGACTTTTCGGACCTATATTTTTCGCGCCTATTTCTCCATATGTAAGTTCGAGGTTAATTAATATATGGAACTTTAGTAATCTCGTACCAAGAAATACAGTTCCGAATAATTAATTTTTGTAATTTTTCGTGCTATGGGTCTTAGGCCGATTTAGAAACCATCATATTTATATTGTTTATATTGAGAGCCGATAAAAAATATTTATTTCTAAGTTAATTCATATTTATTTAAAATTTCTTTACTTACGCACTCCAATTACAATCTGAGCAGTCAATTCACGCAGGTGATCGTTCGGTAAATGATGTCACGTGACTCGCAGATAATAGACGCAGTGGATGCGCAGTGGATGCGCTAATCACTGCATAAACGAATGCACCCATATATCCTACTGCATTATATGTTATGTAGAGTAGAGCGCGAATAAATAGATTAAAATTTAAATTAAAATGGACATTATTAATGTTATATTGTTGGTAGAAGAAGAGGAAAGAATAAATATAAATAAAAAACAGCAAAATAATTTAAATTTAATAAGAAGAACATTAAGAGACACACAAAATCCATTTGATATCCCAGATAATGCATTCCTTAAACTGTATAGGTGATATATCCCAGAAAATATAATTTTATAATATTATATATATATATATATATATATATATTATATATATTATATATATATTATATATATATATATATATATATATATATATATATATTATTATATATATTATATATTATATTATATATTAATTTTATATTATATATATAATGTAATTTTTATATATTTCAAATTAAATAAAGCTGCAACTATAAAGCTAATAGAAGAATTAATACCTTTTATGCCAATTAAAAAGAGAAAGACAGCAATTCCATCACATTTACAAGTTGTTAATTTTTCAAATATTTTCCTTCATCTTTCCTATTTTATTAAAATGTTTTTATAATGTTTTCTACTTTATACATATAAACTGGACAGTCAATGCTCAACAAATACCAAATGCTTTATACTATATTTAGTTAAATTTTCTTAATTTTTATTGTTTTACGTAAAATCGTACTCATTGGTGCACTAAGTGCGTAATTTTTATCAAGTAGAAAATGCTGTTTATTATATAATTTTTATGCAACGGGTGCGCGGAAAGTCGCCCTTTCCGCACATGATGGGATTTTAGAAAGGGCTCCCTTTCCACGCACCGGTCGCATAAAATATTGTGACCAACATGTGCGGGTCGCAAATCGGCCGAGAGTGCGGATTGTCGTACTCGGCTTCGCCTCGTGCGCCAAACTTCCGCATTCTCGTCCGATTTCCGATTTCCCGCACTTGTTAGCCAATATACTATTATAATCTTAATTTTTATTATGTTTTAGATTTTTGCTACACTTAATTTCTTTGCATCAGGTTCTTATCAAAGAAGAACTGGACAAGATTATTTATCAAGCATGTGTCAGACTTCCATTTCTGTTGCTATTCATGCCACTGTAAATGCAATAAATACAGTTATGGAACGATGGATAAAATTTCCAATATCAAACAGAAGAAAACAAGAGATTAAAGAAGAGTAAGTACTTGAATCGCATATATAAAATTGAAGTTAAATTGTACAAAATATGCTCTGTAACATAACTCTACCTGAACTTATTATATAGATTTTTTGAGAAAACGGGATTTCCAGGAGTAATTGGAGCCATAGATGAAACTTATATTGCTATCTTTCCACCAAAAATTGAACGAGAACATCTATTTATAAATAGAAAACTATATCATTCTTTGAATGTTATGATCGTACGTATAAAAATAATATAGTAATATAAAAAAAGAGTATAATAAAATAATTAGACGCATATTTTTCTCTTTAAATAAAAATCTGATCTGATAGAGTTCGATTATTCCTCCATTTATTGTCGATTGCTCTATTTTTTCTTTTACATTAAAAATTGCTAAGTGTAATTTGTATTCAATAAAATTCGCGCCAATTATATAATTCGGTGTGTTCAAAAATTTTACATGTTTCTGTTAGGTTTCTTCATATAACTATGAAATATTAGCAGTAAATGCTATGCATGGGGGAAGGACACATGATTCTAGAGTTTTCCATTCCTCTCAATTATTTAATTATTTACAAAGACGACAGGCAGCAGGTGAAAGAGGTTCATGGCTTATAGGTATATCATTGTATTTCTTTATTATTTTGAATGATTAAATAATATATTTAAATAATAATATTAAGTATTAAATAATAAGATTAAATAATAATATTATATCCTTTAATAAACATTTTAGGAGATTCAGCGTACCCACTTATGCCATTTCTTTTAAAGCCATTCATGAATGCACCTGCAGCATCACCAGAAGCAGATATACAGAACACATAGTTAAAGCACGATCGGCAATAGAAAGATGCATAGGTGTCCTTAAAGGACGGTGGCGATGTCTTAGAAAAGAGAGGACATTACCTTATACACCAGAATTTGCTGGTATGTAAGTAATTATAGTCAGGGTTGGGAAGTAACGAGTTACTTGTAACGAAGTTACAGTTACAGTTACTTTTTTCGGTAACTGTAACTTAACTTCGTTACTTTTCTCCATCTGTAACTGTAACTGTAACTTAGTTACATTTTTTAGTAACTAGTAACTATTTTAACAGTTACTTTATTAATTACTTTTTTTGGAAACATCCGCTAAAAGTATCGTTTAAGTATGGTAGCCGTTATATTATTAAATTAAATTTTGATAACAGTAGCATATATATATGGATCTTCATATGATTTAATCTTTTACCTAAAATTTTAATTTTGTGTACATAAAATAATACAACACATAATTACAATCGACCAATCACAGTCAAGTATTTAAAAAAATTCTTAAATGTAATAATTGATCGATTTGCTTGCAACTTTGCGATTACCATTTAGTAAGTTACCATATATAACTATTTTTACTGTTGTATATAAAGGTCATTCATACATTGATGGTAATCACAAAGTCGCAAGCAAATCGATCAATATTACATTCAAGAATTTTTTTAAATACTTGACTGTAGTTGTGCATAAAATGTAAGCTCCTTATATTTCAAATAATGTATAATTATTTTTAAAAAGTAATTGAAAAGTAACGACTCGTTACTTTTTGAGTAACTGTAACTGTAACGAGTTATTTTTTAAAATCGGTAACTTGTAACTGTAACTAGTTACTGTTTCAATAAAATAACTGTAACTGTAACTAGTTATTTTTACAAAGTAACTTTCCCAACCCTGATTATAGTGCATAATTGAGATAAGAAAAGGTATTTTTTAAATCTATTCTTTACAGCTCTAATTGTAAATGCATGTTATGTTTTACATAACATTGCTTGTAAATGGAGAATTCCATTAAATGAAGTATATTTGGAGGAAGAAGGAGAAGTGCCGATACCATTTAATGATATAAATATAATGCAAGCAGAAGAAGTACGAAGAAATATTGTGCGATGGTACCCATACAGCACAGATTATTGCAATTATATTGCAGCAACGTTGCAATGTTGCAAGTTGCAATGCAACATTATAAAGACATTGCAGAGATATAAGTGCACAAAATTCCAGCACACTTGTAGCAACATGACATTAATATTTCGGAAATATTGCATGTAATCCAAATTCTATAATTTATATATTGTAATATATATAAATTAACTACAACGTATTTTCATTAATGATTTATTTACATTTATATGCCTGTATATGCAACATTAGTTTATGGTTGCAATAACAATGCATTATTGCAAACTCATAACATATTGCAATATTGTTGTAATATTTTGTTGCAATCTTCCAAAAAGCGGACATTTTAACATTGCTGCAATTCAACAGCAATGATGTAGCAACATTTTGCAGTGAATTTGTAATATTGCAATATTGCGGTGAAAGATTGTTGTAATGTTTTTGCAATCTATCGGTGCTGTATGGGTATTTTGAATAGTATATATATATTTATATATATTTTTTTTTGCACATAAACGGTACACTGATCTACATTTTCCTTATTAATCGGTGTTAATCGATAGACTTTTGTACCATCTTCCGACACTTTTAACATAGTTAATTTCTGCAAAGCTTTAGCTATTCTATTTGTATCTGTAGTTAGCTCGCGCAACTTGTTAAATTGAGTGAATACCTCAAGATCTATATAGGGACTTTATTTTAGTAGTTCTGATAGAAAACGATCTTTATTCAAATTTGCATCACTGAAATAAAACTCCATTTGCTTAAGTATCGATGCATGCAATGCTTTTTTCCTTAATCTTGGTTTACCATGTGAAACATTTTATTTATTGGTTTTTTTAATTGTATCAATTTTTACTTCTTGTACTTGAGGAACTAGAATATTTTCCGAGGCTAGTTCCATATCTGATACTTGTTCTTCCATCACCATTGTATTTTCAAAAAACCATATAACAAGTTTCCTAATAAAGTATACCGTCTATATTACAAGAATGGTTTATTAGGTATTGTCTTTGAAAAATATATTTAGCCACAATTTATGTTCCAGAATTTATAAAAAAATTTTAAATATCAATTTGTAATAAATTGCTTGGTAGCACTATATTTATATATATATTTATCACATAAATTGTATCACAAAATTAGTACATTTCATAATCTTTTAATAAATTAATAATTAAGATTATCACAGTACATTTCATCAAAATCTTAATAAAGACAACTTTTGTAACACGTGTTAATTTTATTTCAATCTTTTCGAAAGCAAAATCAAAATCAAAATGAACTAACAAATCATATTAATCAAAATCTTAATAAAGACAACTTTTGTAACACGTGTTAATTTTACTCAAATCTTTTCGGAAGCAAAATAAATCAAAATGATCTAACAAATCATATTAATCAAAATCTTAATAAAGACAACTTTTGTAACACGTGTTAATTTTACTCAAATCTTTTCGGAAGCAAAATAAATAAAAATAATCTAACAAATAATATTAATCAAAATCTTAATAAAGAAAACTTTTGTAACACGTGTTAATTTTACTCAAATCTTTTCGGAAGCAAAATAAATTAAAATGATCTAACAAATCATATTAATCAAAATCTTAATAAAGACAACTTTTGTAACACGTGTTAATTTTACTCAAATCTTTTCTTTGATAAGTTTATTTTAGTAATTTGTCAGACAGTTTATGGTGAATCTTGAAGATTTATCAAATACTGTCCACCAATTTCTTCTCGTATGGATAATATATTATTATTTAAATTCTGTAGTTCTTGCAGAATATCTTTATCAACTGCTAATTTTTCTTTGTTTAATTGTAGTTTTTCTTGTTTTAGTTCCAACATTTTTTGTTTTAAGTTTTCCGATATAGAAGATTTCCTTTCTAATAAGTTCATTGCAGTCGTCATAAGTTTTGGTTTCTTTATACCTAAATAAAGGGATGTTTGTAAAAAAACTGAAAATTTATAACTAAAACTTAAAACCACAATCTCCACTTGATTCCTTTCGACCAATAGAGCCAAACGCGATGTTATTGCGACAATTATGAAAGAAAGAACATTTGAAAAAGAATTTGAATCCTGTGGTTGGGATCTCAAAAATTCCTCCTGTTCCTTCTCTTAACATCCCCTGTAAAGAAATAGGCGAGAAAAATATTGGTCCGAAAGTCGGCTGAATCGGGTGTCCCGATTCAAATTCCTTAGTTTCCAAATTTTCTTTCTTTCATAATTGTCGCAATAACATCGCGTTTGGCTCTATTGGTCGAAAGGAATCAAGTGGAGATTGTGGCTTTAAAATTTAAAGGGCTGACTAAATAAGTATTTTCATTATTAAAACTTAAAACTTATATTGTAATATATTGTAAATATTAATACATTTTTTATTTTTCGTACCTTCTGAATATTTTGTCGATGCAAGTCCCTTAGTACTTGGAGCTGTATAGATTGCCTGAGTATCTTGCTCCTATTAATTATATAAAAACATAATATGAAATCACATTCAGGATTTCTAAAAATTGCAATACTATATCATAAAAAAATGATAATACATACTAAAGCATTATCGTCGTTTTCATTAGATGATGAATCGAATACATTGGTCATAACTTTTGGTTTCTTCGTACCTAAACAAAGGAATGTAATTACAATATTTATTATACATGTAAATATTAATATATTTAATGTAAATTAGATTTTTTAATACTTTTTAAATATTTTGTCGATACTAATCCCTTTGCTGAAGCTGTATAAATTGCCTGATTATCTTGCTCCTATTAATTATATAAAAATATAATATGAAATCACATCTAAGATTTCTAAAAATTGCAATACTACATCATAAAAAAATGATAATACATACTAAAGCATTATCGTCGTTTTCATTATCAGATGATAAATCAAATACAGTGTTCATAACTTTTGGTTTCTTTGTACCTAAATAAAGGAATGTAATTAAGATATTTATTATACATGTAAATATTAATTTTAATATAAATTAGATTTTTTATACCTTTTAAATATTTTGTCGATACAAGTCTCTTTGCACTTGAAGCTGCATAAATTGCCTGATTATCTTGCTCCTATTAATTATATAAAAATATAAAATGAAATTCTATCTACGATTTCCAAAACTTACAGAATTATTTATTACAAAATTGCAATATTATTTATAAAAAGAATCGTAGTACTTACTGAAACGTTATTGTCTTCAATTTCAGATGAATGGAATATTTCATTGCTAAAATTATGTAGTGCCAAATCCTGATTTGGTATTCGAGGTGAAATGAGTTGAGAACATAATATTAACTGATTTGGCATTACATCTTCAAATCCGCCTTCAGGTATTCCTGATAGGCCAGTAGCGTCTGGAGTTAAAAAGTCCAATAAACTTTGTTCAATTAATGTTAATTGTAGATTTTTAGCAGGTGATCCACCACCTGTTCCCATCATATGTCTTCTGTTTTGCAATTTTCTTTAATGTGTTGGATTTCCAATCTCTCCACGTCTAAATAAAAAAAATAAAGATCAGTGATGAATAATAATTTAAAATACTTAAAACTCAAAAACAAATATTACATAAAATTAAATATGTTGATGTAAACTAACTCGCTACTTTATCACAGATTTTGTTACAACTATTAGATTTATATAAAACACTAATAAAATGTAATAAAATTTACCTTGGCCCATTCTTTAGCTGATTTGCACGGCCCACATCCAGCTGTATTTAATATTTTTGTTAATTTTTCCCACAGTTCATCCTATAAACGTTTAGAAATTAAAGATTGTTAAATCATATTTTTAGGAAATCTAAAATAATATTTATTACGTTATTAATCGCAATATCCATTACTTACCATTTTTCGCTTATTTTCATTATTGTATCTTATCCGCCCCCGACCGAAATCCGAATGTTTAGTGATAAAATTTAATATAATTTCTTTTTGTTTTTCTGTAACATTCATTCTCTTATTCACAGAGGTTATAAAGATAAAGATATCACTGAAACATATATGCATGCATATACGCTTTACGGAGTGTTCACAATGGTTTGTACTCCCGTGAATCTAGGGATATCGTATTTTCACCTTGCTCATAGCCAATCGCGTGTATTTCTTCACGTGAAATAAATGTGCGAAAAGTGAGAAAAATCGACACAAATAGACAATCGATCCCCAGCATTTCTCACTGATTTCAGCGCCATATCGTAGTAGTGGTCAATGCAGTAACTATTAATACGTTCCCAAGATAAGAGCGTCTCATGCTCATGAACTCGTCCGGCGGCATGTACGAGATTTTATCTTTTCATAGCGTTCGCGTATTTTGGAAAGGACAGAATTTTATGATGTTATAAATAAATAAAAAATTAACCTGATTTAACCTGATTAGTTTTTAATTTTTTTATGATTAATTTAATTTACTCTAATTATATTTGTACGAGAAAAATACTATCATGGGTATACGTTTTATAATGAATTAATATATTTGTGTTCAAAAATTATATTTGACCTTTAATTTTAATTTTTATTTTATTAAAATTAATAATTAACATATATACTTAATTGCGAATTATATGGATAAAAAAAATCCCCATTATGTGTGTAAGAGATTTCGGAACTCTTTGCTAAAATAATTAAAATTAAAAGTCAAAAGTTAAATATAATTTTTGAACACTTATATTATTACGAATATATAATTCGGCTCCCGAAATATATTAATTCATTATAAAACGTATACGTAATATTATTTTTCTCATATAAAAATGACTAGAATAAATTAAATTAATTATTAAAAAACTAAAAAGTAATTAAACGACTTAGACTTAGATAATAATAATAATGAAACATTTTATTAAAAAAAGATTCAATAATTAGTAGGTCAGGTTATAATTTTTTATTTATTTATTTATAACATTATGAGTTATTAAGCTCATCATCTCGTTCGCTCTCTGTCTTGCTTTCATTCGGCAAGTCACAAACGATATATGATACTCGTATGTTCCTACTTCAACTCTCGAGAATCTGAAACAAACAAAACTCGTGTCCAATATATATATTATATAAAAGTGTATAGCACTCCGCTTGGCAGTTTATCCGAGGCTGTGAAACAGGTAAGATCGAGGCTAGCAGAAGTAGCAGATTAAAAGTTGAGTAAGTAGTAATTAATTAATATTATATATATATTCGTATTTACGCGCGCGCGCGCGCGCGTGTGTGTGTGTGTGTGTGTGTGCGTGCGTGCGTGCATGCGTGTGCGTGTGTGTGTGTGTGAAGAATATATATATATATATATATATATATATATCGTAACCAGATTACAAAATTTGTCGTTTTATAAAATATCTAGATATTTTATTAAATGCGGCCACATTCTCAAATTATGATATATTGAAAATGAAATGTTTTTTAATCTGGCTAAGAATTTTAGTCTTTTTATAAAAAGAACTCGCTGCATTGTCAAACGCAACGATTGTTTGTACATTTATTTTAGATTCTGATGGCTAATTCACTTTAGTCATTTAATGAACGGCATAATTGATGTTATTTTTAGTATTTTTATAAAAATTTTAGTATTTTTATAAATTTTATAAATTATAGTACTTTTTATTAACACATTTATTACAATTGAGATTTTATGATAAGTAACATGAGTCTCTTGTTTATCAAAAATTAATAGGGATAAAACGCGTCGTTCATATTAAATGACTAAAGTGAACCAGCCAGAATTTAAAATGACGTACAAATCATTGAATTTGACAATGTGGCGATGAGTTTCTTTTCATATATAAAGACTAAAATTCTTAGCCAGATTATAAAATATTTCATTTTTAATCATAATTTAGGAATGTATGTGGCTGCACTTAATAAAATGGCTAAACGTTTTATAAAACGACGAATTTTGTAATCTGGCTACAACATTTATATATATATATACAGAGTGTTCGGCAACAGGTGGGCCAAAATGTAAGGAGTGGTTCTACATGATAAAATAAGACGAAAATCAAGAATGACAAAATTGCGTTATATAATTTTAAATAATATTATTTTAAATAATATTTAAATTCAGTCATGTTATAATATCATCAATCAAACATCTTCGATTAAATTTATTTAAATTTTATGAATCGTTACACATAGTTAATTAATGGAAATAGAGAAATTATATCGATTTTCTTAAGTCAATCATTAATGAAAGAGATTCGCATTAAATTTGTTATATTTAATCGTCAATTATATACTTTTTAATTGTTTCTGCTCAAATCAATTGTCAATTGAATTGTCTTCGATTGAATCTATTTTTTTTCAATCGTCCATTAAAGTACTTCTAATTAAAATTAACTCATATTAATTGTTTAATTAAAAAACTTTCAATTAAATTAGCTTGTATTAATCGTTTAATCGATCGCTCTCCGATTAATTTCGTTTATATCAATTGTCAATTAAATAACCTTCAATTGACTTCGATCATATTAATCGTTAATTAAGCGATCTTCGATTAATCTAGCTTATATCGATCGTCATTGTAACGATCTCTAATTAATCTTTCTAAAATCGTCAATTCAAAATATTTTAATTACATTTGATTACATCTGTTTGTAATTAAATGTCATAATTAATTTAAAAAGTAATTAATTAATCAGCATCTCTGATATATGTATATATATATATATATATATATATATATATATATACACATACATATATATATACAGGGTGTCCGGTAACTAACGGACCAACGATCACAAATGCATTCTTTGGTGAATTTGGGAACGATTTTTCTTCAGCGAAAATATCGAAAAAGGTCATCATTTTTTACAATTTTCCAATATTTGTCATTATGTATCTTTATAACTAAGTCTCAAATTAAAATTTTATTATAGTAAACTTTACCTGAAATTAATTGAAGAATGTAATTATGTTAGACTTTTAACTCCAAAACGTTTAGTTTTCAAAAAAAACCATTTTTTTCAATCGCTTATAACTCGAAAATTATTGACTTCTCAACATTTTTGCTAAGGAAAAATCGTCCCCAAATTGGCCAGAGAATCCGCCCTTAATCATTGGTCCGTTAGTTACCGGACACCCTGTATATATTTTATCAAGCTAGAATATAATACAGCATTTACGCATACATGCAGTATAATATTGTCTCTCTAAATATTAATAAATAAATGAAATAAACAGTTATATATATGTATAAAAAAATTAAATAAATAAAATCTCTCTATGCTTTATAGATATAAATGGTCTGCGCGTAGGAAGGAATATAGAGACGAAACAAGCGAAGGAGATGGAGAAAGAAGAAAAATGGAAAGCAGAGGAGGAAGAGGAATGAGAAAAGGTGGAAGAGGAATGAGACGAGGAGGAAGAGGAAGAGGAAGCCGAACAATCATTTTTAATTACAATTTTTAATTTTTTTTTATAAATAATAATAATTTTTATAAATGAATAATAATATAAATAAATAAATATATAATAATATAAATAAATAAAATTTAATTTTTATTTATATTATAATATTGTAAAATTTAAAAAACTGATTATTTTAGTTATTTTATTTTATTATTTTATTGTACTTATTATTTTATTTTAATAGGGGTATTGTAAAATGTTAGTTTTACAAATATATAAAAATGTGATTTTTTTAACTAAACAATTTGTTTTATAAATACATAAAACAAATCGCTTTTTTTCTAAAATCACATTTTTATATATTTATAAAAATAACATTTTACAATAAATATCAAAATATAATAATATTAAGTGCAATAAGATAAAAAGAATAATAACTAAAATATAATAATGTGTGTGTGCGTGCGTGTGTGTCAATTGTTAGCTACTCATAGAGCATTTCCAGGAGACGCCACGTGAAGGCCAATTGACACAATTCGGAATTTTTTTAAATATAAACATAATATTTGCTAATATATAAAATATATAAAAAAGTAAAAAATTATGTTTAAGTTTTAAAAAATTTCAAACTGTCTCCCTTATTCGATCCGCCATAAGGCCGCGAATTTTTACATATTTTTTATTCGTTCCGCATTAAATGCCGCGAGTAAATGTAAGAGAAGTGAGATCGTACCGCTCGAAGAGCCGCGATCGTTTTACTCGTTCCGCATTAAATGCCGCGAGTAAATGTAAGAGAAGTAAGATCGTACCGCTCGAAGAGCCGCGATCGTTTTACTCGTTCCGCATTAAATGCCGCGAGTAAATGTAAAATAAGTCAGATCGTACCGCTCGAAGAGCCGCGATCGTTTTACTCGTTCCGCATTAAATGCCGCGAGTAAATGTAAAATAAGTCAGATCGTACCGCTCGAAGAGCCGCGATCGTTTTACTCGTTCCGCATTAAATGCCGCGAGTAAATGTAAAAGAAGTGAGATCGTACCGCTCGAAGAGCCGCGATCGTTTTATACATGTAATATGGCAATTTTACATATGTTTTATGTTCTTTAGTTTTTGACATTTTGTCTTTATTTCTTTTGATCTTTTAGATGCTATATTTATTTCTTCTCTTCCTCCATTGTTATTTTTTTTTGTAATTGCATATATCTTGACTCTTAACATAAAGTCTAACATTTCAATTCTATGTGGATAACACTCGTTATTCTCGTTAAACCAATCTTCATTAGCATGTTGGACGTATTTTACACAAATCTCAAGTAGCTTTTTCTTCACATCTTTTAAGTACCAATACGTCTTGTAATATGAATTTATTGCTTCAAGTTGTAGAGTAATAATATTCAAAAATGAATCCGTTGGCCTTGATAGCCATTGTACTTCAGGATCATATTCATTTTGATGTTCATATTCGCGTAGCTGAATATAAATTTCATTATCGTTTGATTTTTCCATCGGTGTTTTCAAATTTTTTTCACGGTAGCTGTCGCACTTTGTATTCTTGTAACCGTAGCGAGCAATATAACCTGCAAAATATGAAATTGCATTTACTTCATATGCCTCTGTTTCTAAATTTACATCTTCCTTGTTGGTCTTTATTATTTTTAAATTGTCAGAATAATTTTGTTCTGAATATTTTGTAATTTCTTCAAAGGCTGTCGCAATGAGATTATCAGCGTCGTCATCCATTTCAGTTAAATAAGTAAATTCTTCTTGTAATGGAATACTGTTATTTTCCATTTCATCACGAACTTT